TAAGGAATAATTATACGTATTACTATTATAATTTTAAATATATTATTTTAATATATATATATATATCATAATTTTTTTCAATAGTTATATAATATATATTATATTAACATATTTTAATTTCTAATTCTTTTTATTATTATTAAAATATATATTAATATTTATGCAATTACTTAAATATATTTTTTATATTTAAACATTTTTAATAATAAAAATAAAGTAATTACGGCCGCATGCGGCCGCGAAAGGAACGATCGGCCGCAAAGTGGTGTGCCAGCGGCCTTTAGGGGGTGATTGTTTATGGATTCAACTAGTTTTTATTTGGTTTATTTTTTTAACTATAGTTAGTTTTGAAAAATGGTGGTATATTTATTTGTTAGTGGATATATTAAAATAATATTTAAATATAATAATTAAAGTTGATTTGATGTAAAGTAAGAAAAATATGATTGGAAGTGACGGTTAGTTAAAAATTATGTGAGTGGATGAATAGTGAATTAAAGTTGATGTGATGTGTAAGCATGTTTGATTGATAAAAATTAATTATATTGATAATATAGGAGATAGTGGAGTTGAATTGAAATTGAGTTAAATTTGAGTATTAATTTGTTTTTTTACTGTACAAACTATAAGCAATCGCCCCCTTAGCGGCCGCACAACGAAAGGCCGGTGGCCTTTCGCGCCGCATATGGGACGACTGTCTCGACATTTGCGGCCAAGCGAGTTTGGGATGCGGTCGTCGGCCGTCCACACCGACGCGGGCCGCGTATGCCGATCGGCACATTTTTTTTAATGTTTTTTTAAATAATTTGTTTCCAATGTAAATAAAAAAAATACTTGTTGATTGAAGAGTTTTTTCCCGGTGCCTGAAGGTTGTCCCGCCATTTTTTTGGAATTTTTGAATGTTTTGTTGAATTTTATTTTTACTTTTTTTTTGGCAAAATGTGATTCTTTTGTTAAAGGTGCGATTTTGTTTTTTAACTTACAATTGTTTTCTTATTATTATTTTTTTTAATAAAAAGAGCAAAAATGTCTTTTAGGGGCTATATTTAGCAATAAGGGAAGCAGTGAATAATAACAACCTTTGAGTTATAAAAAGCATCACCCACCAACTAGGCTACTAAGCATTTAGTTGAAAATGTGATTCTATCTATTATATCATAACATATAACCTAAGTATTATAATTATTTATATAGAATTTTTTTATATGGATTCAAAATTGTAAATAATATAATAAGTAAGTATATATATTCTAAATAATATAATAATTAAATATATAGATTTAAATTGCATATATATATATATAAATATATAATTGCTGGCTCATGAGTATTTAATAAAACCTATTAAATTATACCTATGTGGCAATATAAATTTTTCCTCCAAAAACCATTACTTTTTATTCATTTAACATCTCATTTAATTATTAGATAATCAACATACTAATCACTTCAAAATTACAAATATCATTTTAAACTTTTGATTTACTTACAACTAACCATATAATGTGTTGACTATTTAACGTGATTAGATGTTATTGTTGTGGTTACATTTTAATTAACTTCTTTTGGAAATAAAAAAAAAACGTATATAAAATTCCTAAATAAATAATAAATGGTTCACAAAATATATATATACCAAAATATACATTACATCCACTATTATAAACGCAATTTTAAAAAATAAACATTTCAGCTCCTTTTATTGTAAATTTAGACTACAAAAAGTGCAAGAAAAATTAATAATCATTATATTCATACATATAACTCACAATACTTTATTTATATCTGTGCAAATGCACAGGTCGAATACTAGTAATATAATAATTAAGTGCATAGATTATAAATTATAAATAATGTAATAATTAAATAAATATCCTAAATTATAAATGATATAACAAATAAATAAATAAATTCTAAATTATAAATAATATAACAATTCATTATATATATATATTCTAAATTATAAATAATATAACAATTTATTAAATATATTCAAAATTATAAATGATTTATTATTTAATAAAATATATTCTATATTTTAAATAATATAATAATTAAATAATTTTTTTAATAATTCAATATATATATTCTAAATTTTAAATAATATAATAATTTAGTATATAAATTCTAAATTCTAAATAATATAATAATTAAGTAAATAATTATTAATAATATAATATAAATTATAAATTAAAGCAATATAATAAATAAGTTATATATTTTATAATTTAGAATCTATTTACTCAATTATCATAAAATATAAATACTGAATTATATATTACTTCTAATTTATAATTATCATTATATAATTTATAATAAAGTAAATATAATCTAAATTATAAATATTTATAATAATAAATTAGATTATACATTATAAATCATATAATAATTAAGCAAACATATTTTAAATTAGAAATAATATAATAATTAAATAAATAGATTCTATATTATAAATAATATAATGATTGAGTTAATAGATTCTAAATTATAAATGATATAATTAAGTAAATATATTCAAAATTATAAATAATACAACAACTAAATAAAGAGATTCTAATTCTAAATAAGATTATTAATTTTAAGAGATTATATTTATTCATATTTAATAATTAAAATAACCATAACTTATTTATATTATTTAAAGCTCATATCAAGGATACTTGATATTTTAATTAATAGTTTATGAATTGTAATAGTATTTTTTATTTATCATACATTTACTAGAATTTAAAATAAATAAACGGAGTAAATAAGTATTTTAATTATTTATTACAAATTAAAAAAAAAAAAAATTACTGAAATAATAAAATTTATATAGTTATCGAACATTTAAAAGTAGATAAAATAATATAAAACTAAATAAAAGAAATAAACACAAATCATATATAGCTATTGAATACAAAATATTTTATCCACAAATTTATACATTAATAATATATCATATATACACGTATCATTTTATTTTATTACAAATCAATTTAATTTAACTTAATTTAGTTTAGTTTAATTCTATTTAAATATATTATATTACTTCAATTCATAAAATTGTATATTTTAAATTTATATTGATTTTAATTTATATTTATAAATTTAATTTATTTAAAATAAATTATTATTTTATTTTTATATAAAAAAAGTAATATATTGATGTATTATTTTCAAATTCCACATTTAATATTTATATTATTTTAATTATATTTTCTATAATTACTTTATTTTGCGATTGTTTTAATTTTTTGTTTTATTAAGTTTTTGTTGTTCTGTTATCTTAAATAAATTTGTGTTAAGTACGTACCATACAATGATATTGGTAGAGTGGTTTGTGGCCTTTTTTTTTTTTTTTTTTTTTTTTTTTTTTTTTTTTTTTTTTTTTTTTTTTTTTTTTTTTTTTTTTTTTTTAGTTTAGTCTCAGACAAAGTGGTTTGTGGCCTTGGCTATTGAGCTTTTAGCTCTGGTAGTTAGGGGTGTTCACGGTCCGGATTGGTCCGGTTTTAGCCCAAACCATGACCAAACCGGACCTAACGGTCAATTTTTTTTCTTGTCCATAACCGGACCGGTTTTATTTTTTAATCGACCACAATCCGAACCGCATTGGACGGTCCGGTTTGGCGGTTAACCGGTTAAATCTAAAATTCTCGTTTTGGGCCTTCAATTTTATTTTTTTCATTTTGGGCTTAATTTTCATTTTTCAATTTTGAGCCCAAAAAAGAATATTTGGGCCTAAAAATTAGGAAAAACAACAATAATGAAATAAAAAATATACAATTCGTCCTATAAGCATAAAAATACACATTTCGTCCCGTAAACATAAAAATATAAAAATGATGAAGATTAAATTATGCAAAAAAGCCAAAAAATGATAGTGAATTTATTGTATTTGTCGGCCATAGTGAATGACTGAATGTATATATATATTTGTTATAGTTTTTTAACATTTACCGGTCCGGTCCGGTTAAACCGACGGTTTGCCGCATGTAATCCGTTAACCGGACCGGTTATTCCGGATTTTAAAAAAAATTAACCACCGGATTTTTTAAGGCTTTTTTAACCGACCATTTAACCGATCCGCGGTCCGAATTGACGGTTTTTTCCGGTTAAAACCGGACCGTGAACACCCCTACTGGTAGTAATTTCAATTTTAAAATAAAAAAATATATGAAAAAATGATATTTTTTTGCATTACAAAGCCAAGCAGTAACTAATCATGGTAGATGTGAAACACTAGGTGTGGAGATCACAAAGGATGAGTACTTATATTACATTTCTTGATACAAATTCTAGAATTGTGCTTAGAGGGAACGAATGAATTGAAATGAAGAAAAGGTTCCATCTTTCTCAATTAATATATCGGTCCTCACCATCGGAAAGTTCTTGAAAATGGCACCTATCCTCGTCTCTATCTTTTCGAGCAGTCCTGTAGAAATGAACAACGACTAAATTTCAAAATAAACAAGAGTAAATAATTCAATCAAATAAAATAGCGAACGAAAGACCAAGCAATCTCCGAGCCACTTCCAACAAGGTTTACGGCTTGTCAAGTTGGAAATTGGACCGAGAGAGGAGTATCATGCAACAGTTAGTTAATACAAGAGGTCTCTGCAATTTTTAAAATATAAAATATATATATATATATATAAATACAAGGGTCTCATGTATATTTTATTATTTTACCCTAATGTAAACTATTAATGATTTTTAAAATTCGTTATACGAGTCTAAAATTGACCTAGCTATAATTTTCCCTCTGTTCACTCCCCGGCGGTAAATGGAAGCAAGCAAATCATCAAACACCTAACGTGCAGTAAATTGCAGTATCATTCACAGTTGAAGCCTTTAAGGTATGTTCTCCTTCGACCTCTTCTCTTCTTTTATGAACTTCGCTGTGATCTTTCTTGCGTGGTGCCTTCTCATTTATGCCACGGACTCAAAAGAATGAACATGTGTAGTGTGCGGCCGAGCCATGAGTTTCTTTGATATCTGTCTCTTGTTCTTTCTCAGAAATGCCTGGGCTTCAGAGCTCAACCAATGGCGGCGCCGGTAAAGCCAGCAGAAAACCGCGAGTTGCTGCTATAGGGAACCCGAAAGCTTGGGCTGATGCTAAAACCCTAAACCCCAGGAGAAATAGTAATTTCGGCACAGCCCACAAATCCAGAGTTTCCATGGATGGCGGTAGAACCACGGAGTCGAAAATGGTTAGCAACAGCGGAAAGATGAGAAGCAGAGGAAACAAAAATGTTCCCGTTCTTCGTGTCGGTTCGAAAGAGAAATCTGGTGAAAGGCCTATCAGGAATAGGATGGATTTTAAGAACGGAAGTCGAAGTTTTGAACCGGTTAGTGATATGAACTCAGGTCGAAAGAGGAAGAGATCTTTTGCTGATCCCGGAATAGTTGAGGATAGAGTGGTTGATGGTTTTCGTGAAAAACCCATTTCTAAATCTAAGCACCGTGTCACGGGATTGCGTTTGGATAAAGGTGAAAAAAAGGTTTCAAGAGGAAAAAGTGGTGAATCAGACAGTAATTTCCGAAGCTCATCAGTAATGGAACATGGTACATTTAAAGGAAATGAACTGCGTGATAGGAAAATTCGAGCTGGCAATGCTGAGGGTGCTGATAGATGGAAGCGTGTTCGAGGGAATGGCTTAGGAAGTCGAACACTGAATACCAGCGATAAGAGAAAAATATCACTGAGGACAGTTAAGGATCTGAGCCAGAGATCATACAAGAAAAATGATCGTGCCAAGAAAAGCTTGGTTAGTGGCTCGGACATGACGGACGAACTCCAGCCAAAGAAGAAAAAACGAGTTATCAGGATAGATCCTCATGACACATCCAACAAGAGAATAAATGATGGAATAGCTCATGATGGTCAGTAGAGTTCTCTTCTGAGTATCAGCTTCTTTTTTTGTTTCATTAGCATTTTGGTGGTTCATCACATTATAGAAGGTGGTCTTCCTCCATATGTATTTCATAGTCCCTCCAGAAATTTAAATCTGTTTTCTTTCCTGTATTTGGGGTTTCCAGTAGTGGATAGGTTACATTGGATTTAGATTGGATTTGCTCAATTTCCGTGAGGCTTGAGAGTTGAGATATGGAGATTAAAAAACAAGTATGATCCGCTGTAGTTTCGATTCCAGACGATGAAGTTTTCAATTGTGATTTATTCAGGATACTATAGTACTAATCTAGATTCTGAAAATATACATAAATGGCTATTAGAGGGTTACCTATCTTCACTTCACTCACGCAATTCATCGCCAGAACAATTTGGTGTATTAGCATGTCGTCATGTCAGTCGATCGGTAGGTAAGGTAATAACTTGTGGTGCTGCCTCGTGTATATATTATGATATATTAGCCAGCAGCCCTGTCACTCCACAGAAGGATTTATGAATGATGTAGCAAAGTTGGCTTAAGGACACTTGTTTCTGACTTTATTTTTTTGTCTCACCTGCGTGATTATACGCCTAGTCCAATTGTCTATTGTATTAACCACTGAATATATTTGAATCAACTTTTAGTTTTTCATTACTGCTGCTCAGCACAAAAGAAACCACCTCTTACTTCTCTTGAATTGCTATTGCTTGTTATCATGTGATTTTTATTTTTGTTTGTACTCATGTCATCTGTCAACAGATGGGTGTATAAACTTTTGAAGTATTGTCTGACAAGGCTTATTTATTTTCTGAGAAAAGCCGGTTAAGGTCATAAGAATGAAGATGTTTTGTCTGCTGACATTCCATCATTTAGATCTGTATCTGAAACAAATTAATTGAGAGTGGAATGAAGTAACTTGGTTTGTCCAATAGCTCTCTTGGTGTTTTGTGAACATGTATTATTTTTATTTTTTCTGTTTCACCATTATGTTTTTGTATCTCCCTTTCGATTGACTGTGCTGACATACACATCGTGTCATGCTATGAAAGGTTATTTTTTGCAGCCTTTAAAGCTTGAATCATCACGAGGCTCCTGACATTTGTTGAAACATTAGATATTATTTGATCCAAGAATTTAGTATTAGATGTTAGAGGATAGGTTCTGAACTATTATTATTATTATTATTATTATTATTATTATTATTATTATTATTATTATTATTATTATTATTATTATTATTATTATTTTATTTTTTCCGAGCCTGGAAAAAGCTGTTGGATGTGAAAGATGGGAGTAGCTGGGGCCAAAGCTAGTTTGGATTTCATCTATGTTCTGAAGCTTCAACACCATTGAAATTTTAGTACGATAACATGTATTATTCCAAACCATGTAATTGAGTTACAAGTGCACATGTAAAAACATCGCCCACCTCTATCATTTGGATGGCTACGGCTGAATTGATTGCCTTGTCTTATTTTTCTCTCGATGCATTCTGTCCAGATAACACTCAAGCAAAGACAGATTTGGAGGAGAAGGATAATGCTGAAATGTCAAAGAATGCACAATTTCGCGCCATACGCCCAAGTCCTTCTATTCTTACATTTGTAGAAGAAAACGTAAAAAATCTGCCCTAGCCAACATAATTTTACTTCTACACTGTTTTGTGTATCAATTACTTGCTCACAGACTCACACTTGGATCATTCTTTATTGGGTTTCAGTTGTTAGGACGCAGGCGTGATATTGAGTTCAGGAGGGCTGGCTACAATACTCAGCTCTCTGCCCCTCTAGACAACATTCCCTTATCAACAAGTTCTGAAAGGGTTCCCTTATCAACAAGTTCGGAAAGGGAACGGATTGAAGTACCAGTATGAACTTTCCATACCTTTACTTTTACCTATTCACATTTTCACCTTCGTCACATCTAAATTAGTATTTAAGATGGACCGTAGTCCACAGAAAATGTGCTCTTGTTGTAGTGTGAGGTCTGAATATGCTCCCGCACCAAATTTTTTGTGCAATGTCAAATTGGTCTGGCCAAAGTTATGTTCTCAAGCAAGTGGTTTTGTTTTTAGATATATTAAACTTATTGCAATTTGTTTTCTATCTTATGATTGAAGTTTCCAGAGCAATATCAAATATGATGTATGATGGAATTATGCTTGAGATCAATGAGCAACAAGACAATGTGTTATTTCTTCTAACATGCTTGCACTCTAATTATTTACAGGTATTCAGGAATAAATTAGAATTCTTTGCTGCTGCAAAGATTTCATCATCATTTCCCTCTCCTGATCTCCCAGAGATTGCATTTGCAGGTGGATTGATTAGTAATTAATTGAGGAAGTAATTAGTTGATAACTTTTTTAGGCTATCCATTTCCCTTCTTGGCGTTCTGCATTTATCGTTCCTCGTATCTTATCCTATATCTTCACTCTTTCCAATATACTTTTACTAAGCATACATGTGTGAGTTTTCTGAGAGAGAGAGAGAGAGAGAGAGAGAGAGAGAGAGAGATAATACCACACCACCTTAGTGGACATATTTGAAATCATTGGTTTCTTATTTGGTTTTATGCTTGTTCGTAAAATTTTGAAATGTCAAATGCGGCGGCAGTCAATATTGTCTGGATGATGTCTATAGGCTTTGAAAATAAATGACAAAAAACTATCTGAGTTTATCTTAAAATTTGGCTTAGTGATTTTGGCGTTTATCTTGCATAATAAGCATATTTTCTAAGCCATTTGGAAAAATGTATTATAGCCTTATTCAAGAATATGGTGCATATATTTACTTAGAGTTAATTCATTACTAGGGCGGTCAAATGTTGGAAAGTCATCATTGCTCAATGCACTAACCAGGCAATGGGGTGTTGTACGGATATCGGATAAACCAGGCCTCACTCAGGTACAACAAATGTTGTTACTTTTCTACTCATAATATATTATATGGTGCTAAAATATACTACATTCATTTTGCAGAGTATTAATTTCTTTAAGCTTGGGCCAAAGCTATCTTTAGTGGATTTGCCCGGTTACGGTTTTGCATATGCAAAAGAAGAAGTGAAGGAAGCTTGGGAGGAACTTGTATGTTTAATAATCTCTCTCCATCTCTAGCTGTCTGTTTCTGTATGTCAGCACATGCCCGAAACTCGCAATTCCAGATTTTGAATAGGAAAATAAAATATGAAAATGACACTTAATTAGGAATTATGTGAGAATAGCACGGCAGTAAAAGATTTCTGTCAATGTGATATATAGACCAGTCAGTTCCGTGGGGCAACCAAAATGGTGTTCACTTCTCTTGTATTGTCTCAGTGAATTGAGAACATTGTAAATTGGCTAACAATATTACATACCATATTAGTGCATTGTACATTTCATCCATTTTTTATTGTCCGTTGCAAATGGAGCTCGAAGAGTCATTGTTGACAATTTTTCTGGCATAGTGCTAATAATAGACTAGATCAAAATGACTCAATTAAATTCTAGTGCTTCTTCTATTAGTGAAGTTTCTAGAAAAAAAAAAAAATATATCAAACGACGCAATGCACCTTGGGTCGCTACGGAAACAGCCTCCTTGTATAATTACAATTTACATGGGTAACGTCTACGTACAACTGACCCTCAGACCCCAACCAGTTGGGAATATACTGGGTATGTTGTTGTTATATTGAATAAAATGTGTATCAATGTTGCTACTTCACTAATACAACCTTTTATAGGCATTCCATTTCTAATGACAATACACTATTAGTTTCTTTTTTTTTTGGTACTTTATTATTTTTTCTTATGTTTCCTCATGCACAAACTCGTAGGTGAAAGAGTATGTTACCACGCGTGTTAGTCTGAAGCGAGTATGTGTTCTTGTAGACACAAAGTGGGGTATGAAACCCAGGGATCTTGAGCTAATTGATTTGATGGAAAGGTACATAATTTAATACATCTTCCTGTGTTCGCTGTTGTCTCATATCATTTATGATGACTTTTATATGCATAATTGTTTTTTTTATCTGATACTATGAAGGTAGAGTTACACGATAGTGGCTTGTTAGTTGCTTACTCTGTATATTTTTCCGTATGTGGTGTGTGTGTGTGTGTGTGTGTGTGTGTTTGAAAATAGAAGTGAAATCTACGTAACTCATTGTACATGTTATATTCAGTCATAAAGTATTTATTGCCAAAAAACGCGAGTTTCATTACTAAATTAAAAAGAACCGCCAAACGACTATTTAAACTGCGGAACACTTGATTATTGACTTCATGCTAGTATTTTTGAAGGGAATTAAAAGTTCGCTAAATGTTTTAATTTTTAATTCCATTGGAGGAGATTTCTGGTTATCCACTTGATGTGCTTTTATTGTGCAGGTCTCAAACTAAATACCAGATTGTTCTAACAAAAACAGATACGGTTTTTCCAATTGATGTGGCACGTCGAGCAATGCAAATTGAAGAGGTTCACATTATATTTTTGTTGAAAATCGATATTTCTTTCCATTTTCTTCCTCTTTTTTTTTTTTTTAGTTTCTGAGTATGAGTGTTAGTGTCTTACTGGAGTAAAAACTTTGATCCTACAGAACCTCAAAGCAAAAAAATCTGCAGTTCAACCCTTGGTATGATTTGACATTATTAGCCATTTCTACATTTTCTTTGTCCTGGATAGAATAAAAAAAAATCAAAAAATAAAAAATAAAAATGTCTTCAATTGCAGATGATGGTGAGCTCGAAAACTGGGGCCGGCATCAGAAGCCTGAGGACGGTACTCGCTAATGTTGCTCGGTTGGTGAAGTGATAGAAGTTCCTTTATTAGAGGTATCCTTGCATATTGGATTGGTTTTGAAATTAGTGAAAGAAAATAGATTTTTCCCAGTCAAATGATAAGGGAAAAAAAAATATAAAAAAATAAAAATAATGATAAAAAAAAAACTTTCTTACATCAACATCAACATCTCCATAGCTATTTCATGAGTAAAGGTAATTCTTAAGTTTTTCTACCCATTCGTACATGGGTAGAGCTTCATCACCGCACGATTTACACACAGGCACAGCTGTGTGTTTTTATGATCTTGTAGTGTTGAAGCCCCTGTGGGCGGACAGTGATCGAATTTTTCGAGCATGCCCGTGTATCTCAGCAGTAAATGTATTTCATTTTTTATGGTAAAATGTCAAATGTTTTTCTTTCATGCAGACCTGCAAATCCATACGAGCATGGCCCGATCGTGGTACAAGTCTCAAATCCATTCCTAAAGTAATGAGAGTACTAAGAAGTTGTTCTTACTGTGAGATCTTCTGTTGTCTACTCATTGGTGATTTATTAAAGTATATCAGCTCCATTTTACTAACAATCGAATTTAGCATACATTTTTTCAGCAGTTGGCCTTTGTCAAATTTTGTTTGCTAGTTTGTTTAGTTCATTTTTTATAAATATTTTATTTTTCTTTTACAATATGTGTAGAATTTTCTTCCAGATATAATTTATTAACGCGATTATTAATTTTTGTGTGATTATTTAAATGTATATAATTTAAGGATAAAAACCATCATTACTATTATATAGTCTATACCTATATATATATATATATATATATATAATTGCTGACAGATGCATTAAATAAAATTAATTTAATAAAACGTTCATAATTTTCTTGCTCATTTCTTTCAATTAATGTATAAATGTTACATCTTACATTAATAAAGTGTAATAACAATTTTAAATTAAATTATTATATAATATTACTACTAACACTAACTGAATCTAATTTTACATTAAATAGTATGAAATTGTATTGCAATTTTTTTTCTTTAAAATATTTTTTTCTAAAATAAAATATTTTTGGTATTTTTAAGCGATTTTTATCTAATATTAGTTAATTGACATGAGTGTCATAATTAAACACCTTAAATTATTTAAGCAATTGCTATAACAATGATAAAAATAGTTGTAATACTTTTCTAACTAATTAAATATATGGTCCCTCTAGATTACTAAATTATATTGTCCATTAAAATTTATGACATCAATATAAATATTCATACGTAAGTTAAGTAATTTATATTTACATTACAAATTTGCATATAGTCAAAATTTAAAATAAAATACATCCTTTATCTAATATAAAAGTTTATATATTGTATGCATACATATAATATAAATTTTTTTATTTTTATTATTATTTTTTTTTTTTTTTGCATGTATACATGATGAATACTAGTATATATAATTGTTGGAAAAGCAATAAACAAAGCCTAATCAATAAAACCTCTATAGGTTTTCAGCTCAATTTTTTTCAATTAATGTAGAACCGTTACATTTTACATTAATAAAGTGTAAATAATTTTACTAATTTATTATATAATGGTTACTAGTTACTTATAAAATAGTATGTAAAAATTAAATATTTATAAAAAAATTGTATTGCAATTTTTTTTTTCTCTTTAAGAGACTTATTTTTGCAATAAATATTATTTTTTTCGCCTTATTAAGTGGTTTTTCTCTAATATTAATTAGTTGGTATGTAGGTTATAACTAAAGTATAATGCTGCCCTACTCACAGTGGACACATGTTAATATGCCTACCGCTTCTGTGGCATGCACATATTGTTGATGTTAATATGATTGGTGATGTTAATATGTTCACCATGGGTATGACATATTAACATGTGCCCACAATGGGTAGAGAAGAATTATTGTATAACTAAATCCCTTAAAATCACGTAAATAATTTCTATAACAATGATAAAAATAATTATAATACTTTTCTAACTACTTAATTGTATGGTCCCTCTAAATTATAAAATTATAGTGTCCATTAAAATTTTTGTCACATTATAAGATTAAAATGTAAGTTTAATAATTTATATTTATATTTTTATTGTACACTTGTATACAGACAAAAAATGTAAAAAGTAATGTGCACATGAATGAATACTAGTAATAGTAAAAAGAAAAAGAAAGAAATGAACATGAACTAAGGGGGTGTTTGTATTAAAATTTTGAAAATCCATAAGTCTGACTCAATTTTAACTCAACTTTATTGTCCTCAATATTATCCATATTATTCAATAATACTAAATCGTTATTATTGAACATCACATCAATATTAATTTACTATTCATTTACTCACATGATTTTAAGTAATAATCATTTCACGTCATCTCTCATACTTTTATATCATATTAAATTTAATTATTTTATTTTAAATTTTATTTCATATAAACTCAAAATCACACTAATAATTAATCATACCACATACTTCAATATTAACATAGTTAACAAAATAAAAAACTCATTTTGATCGGATATATTTGTATCAAAGCACGCCCTAAGAGCATGATGCTGACCAAAAAAACATAAATTTTCATGTTATATATTTTTTAAATAAAAAATACATTATTATGCTATTAAATGTCATACTTTTAATTGTATTGTTTTTTAGTATGACATTTTAGTTTGAAAGTTTGCATATATGTCGATAAATTATGATCGTCTAACCGTTGAATCAAACTAACACTAGTATGTCACCCGTGCGATGCACATAAAAACAATATTACGATTATATTGAAAATTAAATAGGAATAATATTAACCTTGATTTAGTTATTGTTTTTAATACCGGATTGAACCTAACTGATCGACCGAACGCAACGGCAATCGGTCGGTCTGATTCGCATGAACAAAACGATGGCTAGCGAATCGGTCAACACCAGCTGGTCGGATTGGTAGGATCAGTATGATTGCTAAATAAATTACATTTAAATTTATTTAACATAAATAAATATACACATTAATAAAATGGATATTTATAAATTTTTTATTAATTAGTTTAAGCATTTGAAAATTTTAAATTGTTAAGATATTTAATTAATCTTTTATATAAAATTATCACAATGAAGTACTATATATATATGACAATATATATAATATAAATATATATATATATATATATTAAAATATTAACATATTAAAATTTGGTCCTAAGAATAAATCATTGAATAAACAACTTGATCAATTCGATAACGGTTCGGTCTTGAGAACCTTGGATTTACCGCACAGTAATAAAAGTTGTAGGACAATATTATTTTTTACATGAGTATTAATAAAATAATATATAAATGTTCGTAAATCATTGAACATGTTATAAAAACATTCTTATTATGATTATTTGGAGTTTGGGCTATATTAAATTTATCTTAATAAAGTATTTTTAATATTAAAATTTATATATAGTTTCAATAATCATTTTGGTCTGGCTAAACTGACTCATAATTTGGTCGCCTAAGATTAACCCCAGTCGTGTAATGTTTTTTTACTATTTTAAATTTTACCTAGAAGTAATTCAATCATTTTAGGTGGTAACCTAATCAAATCACCCGATCCATATAATTTTTGTTTCCAGTATATTAATATTATAAAATAAAACATATATTATAATTCATGCAATAATGTTCAATTTGTTTTTTTATTATTATTATTTTTTTCCAACGGCATTAAAAGTACTCATAAAAAAGGCCTAAACAGGCAAATTACACAGACGAGCCCCGAAGCTGGGGAATGAGAGGTTACACACAACCAATGCAACCTAGACGGAATACAAACTAGCAATGCTAGAATACTAGCACCCTACCAACACAAAAATAAAAATACCCCAACAGGGTAATACCAAAAAACACACAAATAAAAAAACCCCAACAGGGTAATACCCTGGTGTAAACTCCCAACATGAGAATAAAGGTTACACTCGGACCAAACCGGGACTAAACAGCCTAAACCAAAAACACAAAACGCACACAACATAAACACCCCAAACACACACACAACAAAATACAGCAAACCAGCAACACTAAACGAAAAAACGGAGCCCTTCCCCTACAAATCGAACTACACTCAAACAACGGCGAACAACCGACACAAGAAAATCTCAAGCCCGAGAACCGCTACCGAAACTGCACGAACGCCTGTACAGCATGTGCCCTTAACCCTCGAGACAATCCCGAATCGGCCCATCTCTAACCGAGAGAACCCACGCAGCCACCACGCTGGCCCCACCGAACGCGCCTAACACCCCTAGCCAAGCTCAATAGGACCCAATCCCTCCCCGCCTAACACCACTAGCTGGACAAGGAAAGACGTGATAGGCCCGAGCCCTCAAACCCGGCTGCCGCACCAAAACGGCACTACAACCAGGCTCCCAACCCACTCCACAGCTCCCGCCCCCCAACACCACCACAAATTACCCGAGACGACCAACAACACCCTCCCGAAAAGGCGAGAGCCCCGCCGGAAAGCCACAACCTGCAGCCGCAGAGGAGGACCCAAGGGGGGCAAACCAACACGAACCAGCGCACCTCCGAATCGAAAAAAACGCTTTCAATCGACCTCCGAACGCCGCCCGGGCAAGACCGCCACCACCCACCGAGACCCAAACCACGACCACCGACCCGATCACCGCTCCCCACATAATCCACAGCCAAATCGAAGGAGCGCAGCACCGTGAGTGGGCCAAACGGTCAAGGACGACCCCTGGCCGAGCTAATCCGTCGCAGAAGAAGGCGACCAGATCGAAAAATTAGGCGACGAGCTTCGAAGGGTTTTTAGAGATGGATTGTGGAATATTTTTCTTTTATGCAATAATGTTCATAAAAAATGAAAATATTTTAAAATTATATCTAAAGATAAATAAATTAATTTTTTACTTTAGGGATATTTAATGTAAAATAAATATAATCATTTTAAGATATTGAAATTAATTCATTGAATATGCAATTGACACGATGACGCAATACCAGCATGAGT